TGTTTGATGGCGTCATGGAATGGTTTTGTGACGACGGCAATGCTTGGCAGCATCTGGCGGCCAGGCCTAAAGAATAACTCGAAACTCACGAAAGCTGACGCCAACCGGCCATTTTCACCGCGGGCGCCGTGTTGGATGGCGAATTAGTGAATTGCTTGTTTGTGGACTTCTTGTATTGGTAATGGTCGTAATAGAGGTGATCGACAGCTTTTAGGGCAGGTTATTCATATCAAACCACGATATCCTGTGAAGACCGTCATATAGCGTCATGAATCTGACCGAAACCTGCCAAGGACTGTTGGGAATGTTAATACTGAATTTTTGACTCACGCTTCCCTTCAGTGCTGCATTCCTGACATTGACGTCTCGTGATGTGCACGGTAATGACTTTCTTTATTATTGGTGACTGGAAATGTAGTTGCATGCGAAAATTAATAAATCTGCAACATTGCTATGAGTTGATTGCCAAAGCATTGTTATGTCGGTGGTAAAGATGGCAAATTTGAGCTACCAATCATGTTTTTCTTGCTTAGGACTATTTATACACTCACTAGTTAGCCCTGATATAACCATTGTGGTGCAACAGCATTCTCGCTGATGATAGTCCTTTGGCGTCGTTAAATCAGTTGTTACGTCATTCATGAATTATAAGCTGTTTGACATAGAGTAGTCAACCAATTTGGTACACTGTGTAATGGCACTGTCCAACAGTGTCATCATGGCACTACCTCAGTGCTGTACTGTGGTATGGCATAATGAACAATTATATGTTTTTTGTACTGCAATCCCGGCTGCTTTCGTAGTAAATTTAATCATGAAAAGATGGGTAAAGCATGCATTCTTATATTAACTACGCATCTGACATATGACTGCCCAAAAACACATGATGCAATATACAAATCACTTTCAGCAAAGCACACAACCAATAAGTGACATCACTTGCTTAGACTGTTTTGGGAATCCACAAAACATAGGTGACAGGGATGCAAACACCTCCTCCGCTTCCACAGCCAGACAACATGCTCAACCATCAGGTTGCTTTACTCACAAATATCGTTCACACAGGTAATAACACATGCGTAACAAGAAAATATTACACGTAGTGGAGTGACACTGGAAACCTGCTGACCTTACACAACGCTAGAGACATGACAAGTGCATGTAGTTATGGTTAAAGAGGCGGAATGCAAGGAAATGTTGAATCTGCCGGTGCACACAGGCTGATGATAAAAATGTTGTCAAGTGCTATCCAAGCAACCAACAGCGATACTTCTCCATGCTTCTCAGCACCCAGCATCTTACACAAGCTGCAGTGACTACGACAATGGTGACTCACAAGCAATGCTTGCCCGCATACAATTTTTTTGAGACAGCTGTATTGCGCATCCATAATAATTCAACACTATATTTTCAGAATTCTTAATTGGAAGACAGTTTTGCGAAGCTGTATCATGCAAACCTATACCAAGCACGTGCATTTATGAGCTGTACTGACACGTCCTTACTGCCTAAGTGAATTGCTAATATAATGGCGTACAATGATTTAATTATATGCTGTAATACCTCAATGGGTTCAAATTGTTGGCAAGATCATAGTGAAGTAGAAAATTGCCTTTGAACACCCCTGCAGCATGGGTGCTAGTGTTTCTTTCAGTTTGCTGATCACTACCTTGTCATGTTCAAACAAACCGAAACATAGAGGCAGGTATCAATGTGTCACATTTTACTGCGAGTTATTGGATTTAAGGAATGCCTAAACAATGTTCTCTCTCAGAAGTACAAGCCCCGCACGCACACTCTCCATCACATCAAGATCAATACGAGCCACTGGCACCCACCACCAATGGTCACACCCATTTCAAGCACCTGATTCACACTCCAATATCAACTAGGTGTGACCCCACACTTGCGCAACCCACGGGACTACCAAATGCAGGTTTTCTCGGGGCGCCGGTAGTTTGGGAAACCAGAGGTACGGGGTTCGATCCCCCGCGGTGCCCGCCCTTCCTGCCAGGCTGAGAGGCAGGCGACGCCATATAGCTTCAGCAGCTGAGTGCGTCGTAAAGCCCCAATGACTGACACATGCAGATTTTCTCGCAATATCCGTACAGGTTTTCGGCTATAACACCGCATTTCCTTGTGAGCTCCCTTCAAAACAAAATCCCAACGTAGGCTCATGGTAATACAACTCATTGTCACACAATGTGTGCTAAATATTATATATATATATGTATATATATATATATGTATATATATATATATATATATATATATATATATATATATAATTACTGCAATGTTTTCCTAAAGTTATAATGCCTTGCTAACCCATAAACCCGCGCAAGGTGCTTTGTTCCGGTGCACAAGGCTGCAATCGAGTTGTATGTAAGAAATACGTCAGTAGAAGAAGAAGAAAAACCGCCAGCAGCAGAAAAAGTCAGATGTGCCGTCGCGTCTTCTTTTTTTTATAACATTTGGGAGAGTGCCGTTCTTTTTGGGAGCTGTACTTCTTGCGGACAGTGGCATCCTCTTTTTATAACATTGGCCTATGGTTTAGAAATATGGAAAATGCCCCGCTGGCGACGAGTGCTGCGCAACCCGAAAGTGCTCACGCTTACGTTTGCGACACGCATTCAGTAGCGAAATTGTTACCAACAGCCAATCACCTTCCGTTGATTGTATCATGCGTGCCGCATCACCGCTCTTACGAATGTGTTAGCGGCCATGCTGTTTTGACCATAAGCAGAAAACAACCTGTAATATAACGGCAACCCTACAATGACGTTTCTATGACGATATCAATGCCAAGGTGACTTTGAAGTAGTCCCCCAATAAGACTTCTCGCACTCTTGCGAGCGTATAACCCAGGAACCATAGGGCTTTGGGTCTTAAAAAGGGCATGACCGTGAAGTGCATTAGGTCTTCAATAAGTCTATTTCAGTCCAAACCCCCTCGTAAATGTGGAACATTCCCTTTAATTTTACTCCGCCGTCTCAGGTCGTTTCCGTGCTGGACAATGCTGTGATGTAGGCGTGGCGTGCTCTGCTAGGCTGACCGTTCATCATTGCGCAGCTAACCCCTGGACTCCTGATAGGGCGGAAAACGTGCGCGTTTGAAGATTCGAACCCAGCGCGCCGGTAATCAGCGAGACACGACCCCGCCTCCGGTATACGCCTGGGTTACTGGCTGCTGGCTGGATCAATGTCCTGGCATGCAGCGCTCCTGCTGTGGCTGCTCGGGCTGCCGGGCAGGCTGTCCGTCCCGAGTGGCTGACGCCGCCCCCAGACCAACGGCCGTCAAACGCGAGGCCGGCCAGTGGGGGTCGTGGCTCAGATATGTCCCGCGATGTCGCACGGCACAGATTGTGCCGGCGCAAGGCGCACGACACGTCTTTTTACGCCGCGGGCTGCTCGGAGGGCTCGCTCAGGTCCTTCCCCTTTGGTTTCGCCCATGAGTGGTGATGGCGGGGATAGGTATGGGAGATGCAGGTCACGCCCCCACATGTGTAAGACCCTGAAAGGGACACCATGGATTGATCGAAATGACCCGCCATGGGCGACAGTGAGTGACTGGAGCCTCGCCGAGCAGCAGCTTCACGCCGTGGGAAGCCTTTGCTGGCCGCGTTCCATTTTCTGAAAATGCGTTTCCTGTGCCAGCTTGGGTGCAGGGGCGCCGACTCATTGCAGGCGAGGCCTGCGCGGCGTCAGCTGCGGCACCAGCTTGGGATACGCGCCATCGTGGCCAGAATTTATTGTTTGCAAAAATCGGGCACCATCCCAGTGCTGCCGGGGCTGATTCAGCGCGCCATGGCCTGTAACGTGAATTCAAATCGTTCCTTATCTCTGTCGCCATAAGTTACGTTACACAGTTCGGCAATTCCCCATGGCTAGGCACTGGTCATGTTGGGAGAAATCTCCTCCGCTGGTGACACTGTGTAAAGTGTCACGTCCCATTAGGTAACGCCTGCTTAGCCTACAATTGAGCGGGAAGGTTTAAATATATTGTTTAAGAGGCTGTGACATGGTTTGCACCACACCTGAAGTTTCTGTTACCCTGTTGACCCTCTTCCCTTGACACGCTTCGTTTACGCTTCATCAAAACTCCCCTCCCCCTCCATATAAAACAGGATTCATGAACGGGATTCATGAATAAAACAGGATTCAATATAGCAATTCGCTAGACGAACAATCTGACAATTTTGACTTAGCCTAGGTCGCTGGTGTCGATATTGTACACTGCGGATGGTCATGCGTATACTATATATATATATGTATATATATATATATATATATATATATATATATATATATATATATATATATGTAATGGCGCATTTTTCGTGAGCAGGTTGCATCTTTTTCACTGGTCAGCCCCATAGCTCTCCCAGCAACAAGCTCTGCTTGGCTGGGTGGACTCCCTGGAAATCCAGCCCAAAACCCCAAAAATAATAAAAAAATAGCTCATTTTGCGAATCTACACCTCTGGATGTATCCCTGTTTCGCGGAATGGGTACCAGTGGCAAGGGGACAGTGCGTAGTTTTCGTCATGTGGTGCGTAGTGGCCAGAGCGTTACCAGGTTAGAAATATTGGAAAAACAAGCGTCCAGTTCCTGGCGATCAGCATTACGATATACCTCAGCATACTAAGGTTTATAATGATATATGTTTTAGGATGCGACCGGGTAACTGTAGCAACGTCTGATGTTTTTTCGTACGTCGGTTGACATTGCGAAGCGTTCATTCTATATGTGTGTGTATTCGGCCAGACATTCGCCATCAATCTGCTGCGCTGATTGGTGGATATAGTCCGTCCGTACCTCCGCGCCTAAGTCTGCCCAGTCGCGGCGGACTAGGCGGGCGCACTGCGAGCCCATGAGCCTGGTGCGCGTGAGCGTTTGTCCGTTGTTCACCATGCTTGTCTCGTGTCCTGAGTGAGGCTCGGGCTGAGTCACCGAAGCCGCTCGGCGCGTCTCTGACCTCTGACCTGGCTCTCCGCCGCAGGAGGACACCGCGCTCGTGGAGAAGGGTTTTGCCAACCTCAACAAACAGATCCAGAACACGCTCAAGTTTGGCGTGCCCGTGGTGGTCGCCATCAACAAGTTCAGGTGAGCCCGGCTGGCGGGCGCTGGTGACGGCAGCGGGTATGTGCTTCATGGCTTTGCTGATAGGCTCGTCAGGGTGTGTGTGTGTCTGTGTGTGTTATTGGGGCCTTACGACACACTCAGCTGCTGAGGCTATATGGCGTCGCCTGCCTCTCACCCTGGCAGGAAGGGCGGGCACCGCGGGGAATCGAACCCCGTACCTCTGGTTTCCCAGACGCGCAGTGGTGAACGCAGACGCGTTAAACACTACACTACCGGCACCCAGGGTCAGGGTGTGAAGGCTGAACACATGTGACAGGGTTAACACGATATAGAGTCTCCGAGCTAGTGCCGTTTGGACTCAATTTGAACACCCTGAAGTATGCATGATGCGTCACGCTTTCATGATGCGTCACGCCTGTGTGAACAGACCTTAATGGCCTGTGCAAACCTGATGTGGGGATTGGCTGGTATTCCCCGTCGGCCCCCCCCCCCCCCCCCATGTCAAAGTTTCACAGAATTATTCATTGCCGTTGAATCATTCGTGTCAAACGCGGCCAAACGCTGACATCATGTTCAGGTTAACCAACAGCAAACAACGCACGTCACTTCGCCGAAATCGCACATCTCGCAGCCGGCGCGCAGGGCTTATCGCACTTCCTGTGGCCGGGCGTGGCGTGGCGCGGCCGCGCGCGCCGCGGACCGCCGTGTCCGGACCATGGCGTCATCGGCCGGCCGTGTGGACGGGCCGACCACTTCCGCTGTGACGTCACAGGCTCACGCGCCGCCGGCCGGATGTGCGCCCGCCGCGCGGCCGCCTCCGGAGGACGGACCGCGGTCGGCCCGGCCAGCCGACCTGTGCCCGAGCTGGGACCGGCCGCCGCTGATGGCTGTGTCAACACGCCGCCTCTGGGGCCAAAGTGACCACTCACTCGGTGGGTGGTCACTGGCAAATACACTGATACGCTATCCTGGCTGGGCGCCGGGTTACCCGCGCTTATCGTTCGGCTCCTCATGCTTGCTAAGCGCGGGCCCGAACGAACGCCTTTGTTGCCTGGCTATAAGGTTATATCCTGGGAAGTTCTGACACATGAAATCAGACACTTCCCGCAAATTATTTTGATGTTTTTGAGCATAAATGCTGATCGTTGGGAACTGTGGTCATCGCGTGTGGTGCTGTGCTTTCTGGTGTTCAGTTCATGCAGAGGTGGAAGGCGACGTACGGTGGAATTACACTCTTCAGCAGACATGTATCGCAGCGTGGTTCCGCTTCAGACGGAATTCAACTCCCGAGCTTTGTCTCCCTTTCCCCGGTCACTAAGGGGTTGATCATGTGCCGGCCCGGATATGAGGCCCGCTCGTGGTAAAGACTCTCGAGAGTTTGCTACCAACGACGAAACGGCTTGGGTGCGTACGTGCGTGCGTGCGTGCGTGCGCGCGTGCGTGCGTGCGTGCGTGCGTGCGCGCGTGTGTTAACGTCTGGCGTTCCCTCTGTTCGCATTGTCATATTGTGCCCGTTCTTGTTACTGTTGCAGGCTGTCCCAAGGTGTCTCATCTGGCTTACCTAGCTTACTGATCTCAACGGTGGGTTTAGTATGCAAAAAAGCCAAATAAGTGGTGACGCGTCCAGCAACGACGACAGCGGCTATTCGAACCGAAAGGTCGTCCGTCCCCCCCCCCCCCCTAAACACACGCACACAAAAGAACATTGTCCGTCCGGCTGACCCGGAAGCGAGTCGGGTTTGATGTGAAGGGCTGTGAGCTTTTTTGGAGGGCTTCAGTTATTGGTTGGCACATAAGTCACGGTGTTGATCTGTGCCTGGTGGCTCACTGCGATGTCCAGAATGAGCACGCTGGAGTTAGTCAGTTTGTTTTGGGCTGGCTGTGTTGGGCACTTTGCAAAGTGCTGCCCGAGGTGGTGACCCTCATACTATTCCAGGGTGAGAGGATTCATCTGTTCTTCTCCACAATATTTTGACTTTTGTTCCGCCTGAAAACAGGTCATGGAATCGAACCCTCAGCCGTCGTGACGAACGGGGTTGACACTCACGAGTAATCTAGTAACTAGATGCGATTGAAGCAGTTGACGGATTTATAGAATGGGAGTCCCGGAAAGGATTTTGGGTACGGCAATGTGCCATTTGAAAGCATCTCTTAGCGGGCGTATTGGTCACGGCGAGCTCCTTCTCCGTGCGAATGTTGGACTGGAGTCTAAAAAACTAGAGATCAGTGAAGGCCAACGACTGAAATCAAGGTACTCGCTCCCGGTGTAGACTTTTTGTGCAATATGGTCGGGCTACGGCCGTGATAATGTATTTGAATCACGCCTACAGCACAAGTTACATTACGTTTTGAACTCAGCGAAAGGTGACGTGATAACAAAGATGTCCAGAGCTGTGACAAGCGTAGTCTTCAAGTTAACTTGCGTTCCAGCGAGTACCGGCCATTTTGCCGATATACAAGACAGTTTGTTGCTCCTGCGTGAAGACCATCTGCTCTAGCCTCTGACCTAAGCTCCGCTTGTCTCTGGACAGGTGGTAAACAATGGGCTTCAGATTTATTCGGATGCAAAATATCAAACGTACTCAGTTCCTCTAAACAGAACCGTGCGTTGACTGTAGATATCTGAGCGTTGAAACATTCAAGGAATACGATAATATGACATCCTTGGCTTTACTTGACATGTATCGGTAGTAATTCGAAAGTTGTGTGCCCTAACATGCCGTTGACAGAAACTTGCGGCCTGTGTAAGCTGTGTTAGTCAGATACCCTATACGACCCTGGATGTTCACCCATGGATAACACATAAGGTGTAACATACTAGACGGCCTGCTCTGCACTTTCACCCGTCTGCGTGCGTGCCCGTAAACTCGATGTTCCATCACGGTTGTGTAACGCAATAAATTTGCGTTACGAAATTTTTGTCTGGTTTCTATCGCTCTAAAAATCCTGTCCAGGCGCAAATGAACGTCCCATAATTAAGGATTCACGATTTATGCCACAAAAAGCGGCGTTCTCCGGACATTTCATTGGTCAGCAGAGTCCGTTGGTGGGAGCAGCACTCTTGACAGGGGCAGGCGCCCGGCCCCCATGGCCGATTACTAAGGGATCACCGCTTCCTACGTGAGCCCCGGACGGCCGCCGGCGTGGCTGGCCTGCCTTGGAGACGTCCTAGACTGAGAGTGTCCCGGGGAGTTCAGGTCATAACGCCTATCTGCCCACACTGACCGCGACCCCGACCCCAGCCCCGACCGTGACCTACCTCGACCCAGATCCCGACCCCAAACCCGACCTAGCCCCCGACGGAGACTGCGCCGGCTCCGACCCACAGCCAGCCGGTCAGCGCGGCGCCCGTCGCCCGGGGCGAGAGTGTTCAGGTCTCGGCAGGAGGGCGGCGGACTGCCGTTGGTGCCGGCCCCGCCCGTGGCCGCGCTCTCTTGCCGGGCGGCGCGCCACTGGCCGCCTCAAGTGCGGCCTGTCTGGCGGTGTGGCCGCCCAGCCCCGGCCAGAGTCCACCACCAGGGTCGGCTGGCGCGCCCGGTGACGGCATGTCGACTCGCCTCCCCCTCCCCCCCCCCCCCGCCATATCCGGTGGCCCCGCCACCTGCGCTGGCAGTGGGACTGGACGTGACGACGTTACCGCCGTTGGCCGGTTTCATCAGAAAATGAGGCAGATTGGGTAGACTGCTCTGATTTGAGCCGTGTGAGTGCATGGGCTAGACTTCTCTAGTTTTTACCGACTCATCTCGCTAGTCAGCGACGTAACAAACGTGCGTGGCAAGAATGAGGTACAGTGGTATTCTGTGGTAAGATGTACGATGAGGTACTATGGTACGATTGGCTTTTGTGCGGTTCACATGTCTACATAGTGCGATTTGTAAATGGGCTGGGATATAGTTCGGGTTTTATATGAAATTCACCACAGCTCTCGCCGTACCGACCGTGTTTGGAGGACGCCGCGGGCTTGCGGGTATCAGTGTGGTATGTGGGTTCTGGGTACTTTCGGAGGGGAGGGGTGGAGGGTACTATCGAGTGGAATGGGAGTGTGCGCGCGTTCTCAACGTCGACTGGGGAGGGAGCAAGTGACCCTCTCAGTTGAACGTGTCACCCTGCCAAAGCAAGTGACCTGACCTGACCTGCCCTGATGTCCATCGCTCAGCACTGACACTGACGCCGAGCTGGAGCTGATCCAGCGCTTGAGCCGCGCAGCGGGCGCCGCCGACGCCGTCATCTGCACCCACTTCAGCGGAGGTGGCGCCGGCGCCCGCCAGCTGGCCGAGGCCGTGGAGCTGGCCTGCCAGCAGCCCAGCAGCTTCAGGTCAGTCCCCGACTGCCAGCAGCCCAGCAGCTTCAGGTCAGTCCCCGCCTGCCAGCAGCCCAGCAGCTTCAGGTCAGTCCCCGCCTGCCAGCCGCCCAGCAGCTTCAGGTCAGTCCCCGCCTGCCAGCAGCCCAGCAGCTTCAGGTCAGTCCCCGCCTACCAGCAGTCCAGTAGCTTCAGGTCAGTCCCCGCCTGCCAGCAGCCCAGCAGCTTCAGGTCAGTCCCCGCCTGCCAGCAGCCCAGCAGCTTCATGCCGGCCCCCGCCTGCCAGCAGCACAGCAGCTCCAGGCCAGTCCCCACTTACCAGCAGCCCAGCAGCTTCAGGTCAGTTTCCGCCTACCAGCAGTCCAGCAGCTTCAGGTCAGCCCTGTTGTGTCGCAATGTGCCAGCAACGTAGCAGCTTCAGCTTGCGCGGCTCAGCATCCCAGCAGCTGCATGCCAGTCCCGGCGCTTCAGCTGCCCATCGCCGGCTGGCCAGCGATCGGGCAGCTTCAGGTCAGTTCGTGGGTCTGTGGGCAAGCCTGTGTGAATCAGCAAACCCATGTCTGACTTAGCATGTTCGAACGGTAGTTTTAGATCAGCGGTTTTGGAGATGCGTGGCCCGAGTTAAACGCTACCCTCCTCGCAAAAAAAAAATGGGTGCGTGTCAAAGCCCAGTTGTCATGATCAGATTAGTGTTACCGTTAGACGTCTAGAGGCGAGGTCATCGATGGTCCAGAGACTTCAATTTAGGTGACGTGCCTCATTCAGCATCTGTATTGGAGCAGAACAATCAGTTCAAAGCCGTCGCAGCTGTTCTGGCTCACCACCATTTGGCTTCACCCAACCTTTTGACCTTACCTCACAACCACTACAACCTCTTGGCCTACGACTCACCGAACAAATAATAAATGACCATCGCATTCGACGCGGCCTAAAACCAGTCGAAGGTCAATAGGCGGTGAGTCGGGGGTAATAAGGCGAAAGTCACCCGGGACAAATAATCAAAAGTCAATAGGCAGTGTCAGCTCAGGTGTGTTACCAGACCGGCGACTTCCGTCCCACGTGGGCCGCCGCACGCCGGATCACGCCGCTCGCCGGTCACGGGCTCCTGAGTCACGCTCGCCACCGTTACCTGCCGCTCCGATGTGGCATGTGCCAGCGCGCATCGTTCGCGGCTTGCAGCGAAGCACGAGCCGCACAGCTCAGACCGCTTTTGTGTGGCTTGTTACGAGTGTCCTGTTCAAGTATGGAGCCGGCCATTCCCGTTCCTTTGCCTGGTTTCGCTGTGAAGTGAGACGCGCCGCTGTGAAGGACGGCTGCTCGCTCGTTTGTCTTACTTGTCAGATAACTGACTGGTGCATAACCATGTAACTGGAAGGCTGGCCGTTATTGTCCGTCAGGGAGAGGCGGCTTCACTCGGCCCTGGAACAGATCGGGCCCACCAATAATGCCGTCTGATTTTATTTGGGCTCGGACGAGCAGACGCTCTGATTCCAAAGTGAGGTTTTCAACCCGATAAATGGAAAACATACAAGGACATTATTTTTCGGGTTGTCTTCGGTCATATTGCTACGAACTAAAATGTGCTGACACAATGACAGTGTGACTACGTGTCTGCCAGCCATACTATGCCAACATTTGGAAGGATTATATATCATGAAGATCAGAGCGATTTAAAATACAAATATATCAAACCAATTAGGAGGGTATGCTTCTCCCTTGGACGTGGTTGTCAGAAACGATTCTTGGCGTGGCCGGTCGTTTTAATCTCTCGACCAATCAGTTCTCCAGCCCGACCTCCGCCGAGCTCACCGTCATGATCATCACCATCATAGAGCACTCATCATGACCATGATCATGACCATCATAGAGCACTCCCCACTCGTTACGGTTGCGAATGGTTACCGGTGTCAAACACTTCACCATCGCAAAACGTAGGGTGCTGGTCGCCGACTGTGTGTGTGTGGTGTGGGGTGTGGGTGTGGGTGTGGGTGTGGGTGTGGGTGTGGGTGTGGGTGTGGGTGTGGGTGTGGGTGTGTGTGTGTGTGTGTGTGTGTGTGTGTGTGGGTGTGGGTGTGGTGTGGGTGTGTGTGTGTGTGTGTGTGTGTGTGTACGTGCGCGCGCGCGCGCGCGTGCGTGCGTGCGTGCGTGCGTGCGTGCGTGCGTACGTACGTGCGTGCGCGCGCGCTTGTGTGAGTTCAGTTGGGCTGTCGGGCGGGCGGGTCGCTGAGCGCGCTACTCCGGCCGCCAGGTTCCTCTACGACCTGACGCTGCCCATCGTCGACAAGATCCGCATCATCGCGCGCCAGATCTACGGCGCCGACGACGTGCAGCTGTCGGAGCAGGCGCAGGCGCAGGTGGAGCGCTACACCCGCCAGGTACGGCTGCTGCGCCTCGACTATAGTCTCGTCCGCCACCACGTGTAACTCACGTAGTACTAGTTGTACTGTTATTTTCTCACAGCGGACGCGCTGTTTTGCCTAATATGTTTGCTGCTCAGTATCCTGCATCGTGATCGTGTGCCATTGTCGGCGTCCGGCCACGTGCGGTGCGCAGATCGTACATTCTATACAAATAATGCTGCAAAGTTACCTAGACCACGTTACGACCACGACCGTGTTGTGTTAACCAGTGCCGCGCCGACCGTGACGCAAAATGTGCACAATGTAAATGGGTGGTACGCCCGGCAAAGCGTCTGGCGGCTGCGCTCGGTGTCCGTCTCTTGCCCGCCTGACCGCCTCGCTCGCCGACGGCGCCGCCAGGGCTTCAGCGAGCTGCCTATCTGCATGGCCAAGACGCACCTGTCGCTGTCGCACGACCCCAGCTGGAAGGGCGCGCCGACCGGCTTCACCCTGCCCATCCGGGACGTGCGCGCCAGCGTCGGCGCCGGCTTCCTGTACCCGCTGGTGGGCACGGTACGTCCCGCTGCGGACCGACGCCGTCGTCCGACGACGGCGTCGGGTGGGGATGTGTGACGAGGTTCGACAATGCTGGTATTGTTATGGCTGAAGACTGCGGCGACACGAAGACTACGCGCATTCAAATCAAGCGTGTGTGCCGTTTTGGGTTGTGATGACGTGCGTTAGGCAATCTGTTCACATGGATGGCATCTGTTGCATCTGTTAGGCATCTTATGGATATACGGCGCCTGTCCGTGCTGTCTGTGAGGCCGGAGAGGGGGCGCCGTGTGCCGAAGCCCCGGTGCCGCTGTGACTCCTGACTCCGACCCCGCCAGATGAGCACCATGCCCGGCCTGCCGACTCGGCCTTGCATCTACGACGTCGACCTGGACCTGGACAACGGCGACGTGCAGGGCCTGTTCTAAGCCGGACCGGTGGCGCCACCTGTGGCCGGCCCGGGCCTGCGGAGTCGCTGGTGCCGCGCCGGGTCGCTGCGGGCGCCGCCGCCCGCCGGCAGCTGCCTCTCGTGCTGCTCGCCGCCGAGCGGCGCGGGGCTGATGCCGATGTCTTCCGGCGCGAAGCGCTGGATGATTCGAAGTGGTGGAACGACGGAGCCGTGGGCTCGTGGGCTGAGATTGGTAGAAGGTGGGGGATGATTCGGAGTGGTGGAACGGCGAAGCCGTGGGCTCGTGGGCTGATATTGGTAGAAGGTGGGGCGAGTAGGAGGTCGGTTGCTGGGCATTGCCAGCTGGTGAATACGCCGGACCGTGGTGCCTCGGCGTGGTACGTACCTTCCGAAGCATGTTTAAGCGGCATTTGTGGGCCGGTGCCAGGTTTGGATGATAATTGTCGGATCGCGTCACTTTCGTCTCGTGGACATCTGTAAACAATGGGGTGCATTAAGCTGTGTCGCAGATAAGCTAAGCGGAGGGGATACTAATTTCTGGGGTACTCAGCACGTTATGGACGGAGCCCGATTATTTTGCATCTGTTACCACACTGAGAGAGGCCTCAGCCGTCGTAAGCCTGGGTCTGAAGTGTGCTCCGTGAGGAAGGTACCATCGCCATGCCCTGGGCACGGTCCGTCACGTCACAGTGCTCACCAGTTGTGTCGTCTTAGGCACTGGAGTAAGTGCCTCAACGATTTCAAGCACTTGACAACCGCTCAGTCGCCCGTCTGTGTGCCAAAAGATCAATGACCTGCGGAAGTGCCCGGTGACCAGTGGTGCGTCGGTGCGATGCCACCTCGTCGTTCGGCGTGCCATGCGTGACGCCTGGGTCCGCCTGGTCCGCCGCTGCGTACCCGTCTGGACTGGTACCGGGGCGTGGTCCCGCGCTCTAATTCACCGCCTGATCCGCCGCGCACAGCTGTGTGGCTCAGCGATCAAAAATGCAGCGTACACACGGTACAAATAAAGTGCCTCACATATGTTTGAGTAACGCGGGGTGTAGTGGGTCTGTCTAATCGGTAGAGGCTATGTTATGTTTCAGAGCGGACTTGTGAAGCGTTGTGTTGGCGGTACTGCTCAGCGGCCGAGCCGCCGGTGCCAAAATAGTTGATTTTTTAATATACGGCCGACACACATGCGCCTGGTTTTTGTCTGGTGCGGCCGGGACTGATCAACGACAGGAGGCACACAGCAGGCGGGTGACAGGGAACACATTGGTGGGTTGGTGATGATGGTGCTGAGTGGCGTGACAGCGCTGTTCGTTCGTAACGTGTTGTTTTACTGTAAATGACTGCTCGTAATGTGTTGCAGCATTCATTAGGGAGAACACATGAGTAGGCACGCGACCATATTAGTCCGCGCTGACTTCATTTACATATGTCTTCGTAGGGAGAAAAACATTGACGGTCCGCACCTGAGCCGCGATCACCCGACAGCGAGGGCGGACGAATTAGGCACAGCTGGTGGCTTGCAGTGACCGATGCGGTGTTCATATCTCACCCTGACGTGCGGCGACCGACGCTGGTCGATGTACCCGGCCGACGCTGGTCGATGTACCCGGCCGACGCTGGTCGATGTATCCGGCCGACGCCGGCCAGTCCGCACCGCAGACGCGCGTGAGTGCCTGAGGCTGACCCCGGGTCCCTAAAAACACCTTCAGCGACGGTAGCAGATTTCATTGGTGCCGTTTTCGGGATTCGGGCTTACACTCGCTGAACGGAGCGGGGAACGGTAGGTTTAGTGAGATTTGCAAGGAAAGTTCAAATGACCGTCAAGACCCGCCCCACACAGGTGGCGGTGACCGCGTGGCGCCGCAACATTCGCGTCAGACAAGCACGTTCGCACACGCGTTCTAGGTGCGATACACACCACTTGTACGGTGTGTATACACACCACTTGTACGGTGTGCTGCCCTTGTCTAAAAGGTAAGCACAGCAGCGTCGGAACGGGAGGTTCCGCGCCCGTGGCATTCCTGACCTGGTCATGCCGCGAGACAGGCGTCTGCTCGGAGGTCGACTCGGGGTCACAGGAGCGGTCAGTGGATCTCACGGTCCTCATCTCACTCACACCCAGCGGTAAGGAAACATGCGCAGGTGCACATTCCTCCGAACGCTTCATAGACTCATGGCTATACAGCTCAGGTGATATGGGACCAGCGCATGCTCACGCTCACTCCACTTGGGCGTCACGGCGGCGTGAGGGACAGGACGGGGCTTAAGCTTGTGGACAACATTTTTCCACTCCCCAAGCCGGACCCCGTAAGAGAGCTCGCGTACTTTGGCCACAACAGCGGGCTTCCATGGCCGAATGAACTTATAGTCCTCGTCTCGCGTAGCGACGTGCCAAAACAGAAACACTACTTCACCTGACTGGTAAGTGAACTCGTTCAGCTTAGACTCGTGTAACCGTTTGTTTGTTGCATTGCTCTCGTCTGACCTACTAGCAGCGAAGTGATACGTCTTGCGCAGACCCGCACACAGGCGGTTAATATACGCTGCTATGGATTCAGACTTCAGAGCACGAGGAGCATCGAGCTCGGTGTCAGTCGGCAGACGGGGCTCACGTTCGAACATGGGGAGCAAGGGGCTGTAGCCTAGCGATTTGTGCACCTGCGAACGATGTCCCATCATGAACAGTGGCGAGAGCACATCCCACTCGTCATGGCTTTCGTCTGGGTATTTGAAGAGAGCATTCAAAATGGCTCTCATCATGCGATCACATTTTCCATCACCCTGAGGATGACCACTGGAGGTGTTGTCTTCTTATGCCCATCAAACTGCACACCTCGGACATCACCTGACCTCGAAAGTTGGCGGCAGAGTCAGGACGCAGGTACTTGGGACAGCCAAAGCGGGAAAGCAGGCCATCAACGGGCGCAGTGGCATCCATAGTTGCAGACATGTCCGGCAGAGCAAAAACGTCGCAATAGCGTGTGGAGTGGTCACTGCACACCAGCAAATGTTTAGTACCCCGAGCTGTTGTCCATGGAGACTATCTCCCACGGCTCGTACGATCGCGGCTCTCCCAATGATGCGCGAGGCTGCGGGACGAGTGTGTCACGAGAGCTGCGACGCTCACAGCTCCGGTAACAGCTGTAGACAGCAGCTGTCGTAGCTGACCACCCAAACCTCAGCTGAGCCAGGGAAAACAGCCTATCGTGACCGAAGTGGCCTCCGGCGTGAAGTGACGTCAGAGCACCGCCCACAAGACTGCAACACATCACTACCTGCAACCTCTCACTGTCGTGCGGACGCCTTTTGAAAACACGGACAAGACACCCTCCACAAGACGAAGACGGGGCCCCTACCGCAGCAACGGGCGGGCGCCCTCCGAAACCCGATGATGCAACAGCCGGTGATCTGCGGAGAGATGGCGTGTTATCTCAGCAATGTTTGTTTTTCCCCCTCTGCTCCTGTTGAATGTAATTCAGGGGCCAGCGGGTGCTAGTGATGCGGTCACAGGTAACACCTGGTACTACTGGCGTCTGACAGCCAGCATCAACAGTCTCCAGCGGTTTCCTGTTCAGAGCGTCAACAACCACGTTCTCTGAAGCAGGACCATACACAATGTCAACCTTGAGACCACCATGCACGTGTAACCAGCGAGGTAGCACACTGGACGAATTCTTGAAATTCACCAACCACTGCACACTGCCATGGCCTATTCTAAACTTGAGCTTTCTCCCTTGCAAGTAATGCGAAGAAGAGAAAAATGTTGTTTAAACACAACACAAGCCAGCAATTCTTTTTTAGTGGTAGAATAGTTTTTTCTGTGACTTCCAAAGACGTCGACCACCAAATGCAGTGATGCGGTCTACTCCACCCTGCTACTGCAGTAAAACCGCTCATATTCCCTCACCACTTGCGGCACAGCCAAGTGCGAACCAAACAGACCCAGGACAGAAACGAGGCAGGGCAGGACAACTACCGGGGCTCTTGACAAAGCCGTTTACAGCCAGTCAAAAGCAGTCTGAGTCTGGTCAGACCACTGTAACTTGCTATCAGAACTGGCAAGATCAAACAGGAGGGCAGCAATTTCAAAGCAATCTTTGACGTACATACGGCAAAAAGACGCCAAACCCAAGAAGCTGGCGAGCTCCTTCGCCGTCCACGGCTCGGGCCAGGCGCGGATCTTTGCAACCTTCCCGGAATCAGGTGTCAAACCTTCACCGGACACCACGCTGCCAAGAAAGGTCACTTTGTCACGGAGAAAATGAACTTAGCTAAATTAAGGGCCAGCCAAGCCTAATACAGACGTGACGGAACAGCATCGTGCTTCTCGAGCACATTTGCAAATGCGACCCATGCGCAATAATGTTGAAATAGTTCGCCGGAGACCCCGGGCTCAGGTCACCCGGCACAATGTCGAGCGGCTTCGCGCACGTGAGAGGTGCGAACACCCGGCACAATGTCGAGCGGCTTCGCGCACGTGAGAGGTGCGAACACCCGGCACAATGTCGAGCGGCTTCGCGCACGTGAGAGGTGCGAAACTGAGGCCAAACCATACGGCTATAACCCAGGTTTCCAAAAGGAGTGGTGACTGTGGTCTTGTCACGATCCTCAGCGTTAATGGGAATCTGGTAATAAGCGGATTCCCTGGTGATCAGTCTCTTTAGGCATTTAGAGCGAACATGCTGCGCGTGCTGTCACATCGGCAGCCTTGGGTCAAGAGCAGTGCCAAGAAATTTGAAAGACCAAACGAAAGAAATGTAATGTCCAAACGCATTAGAGCCGAAAATTGGGATTATCACGAAAATTTTGCTGAAAATCCTACCTGAAGATTTTTGAGCGGGAAAACGAACCGCGTAACGCTCTGCCCACTGTTGCACCTTGTTTAGGTCGGCTGCTTTGGAGCCGTGGCGGCGAATGGTCATACTCAGCGTCCGAGCACCAGATTGCGCTCTCGTCCGCAAAAAGTGAAGAAGTGTCCGGTAGTAGTAAGTCAAATAAATCGTTTATCATGAAAGTATAGAGAACCGGTGAGATGCGGCTTCCCTGTGGGAGGCCGTTGTCTAGTTTGTGAGCGTCAGAGACGGCCAAGTCCGATGAGCTAATGTGCTAAATGGCCTTTAAACCCTTACTGATGGAGCTCGTAAATAGTGCGAGATTAAAGACGATGTCCTAGGCTCGGCTAATGTCCAGGAAGACGACAACAGTCGTGTGATGTCGATGTTTAAAGGAACGTCTAATGTCAGTTTCGAGTCAGATGATGTGGTCTATTGTGTTTCCGACCGTGTCAAAGATCACATTGACTTTTTGTAGGCAGGCAGTCTGGTCCTACAATTCAAGAGATTCGCTTCACCACCATCTGCTCAAAAAGTTTTCCTAGACAGCCAGCTAGTACAATGAGGTAATAATTCGATGGGTGATTGGTGTCTTTCCCCGGTTTTGGAAGCGTAATAATGATGATGTCTTTCCACGCGTCAGGAAATATATGGGATGGCAACAAATCACTCACAACCGTCAAAACGAAGCGAAGCCTATATTCTGGGAGATTCTGAAAAAGAATAGTGTAAATGATCATGACCTACCTAGTTGTGGCCGGCGGATCACGATTTGTTGACGCTGAGCAAAGCGGCCGAAATCCCGCCAAAAAGGTTTTAGGGTTAGTTCGAGTCATCATCTGCCATCCCCTCCCCCACCACCTCCACCACACGCCCATCCTCTCACCACCCACTGCTACAAACCCCAGCCAATTTTAGAACTTGACACCACTTTACGCATCCTTGGGGTTTTCCAACAGCGTTCGAAGCTAGCGTCAATGGTCAACTTCCAGTAGTCGCGAACGTCTGGGAACCAACGAGCGTGCGTGGGATTTCCACCTGGGCAGGTGTCGAGCGAGCGTTTCTGCACCCGGGAGTACTGTGTGAGTCAAAGGCGTCACCGCACACAACCACCGTCTGCGTGTGAGAGAGCGGTCTGCACTGCCAAGCCATCACACACTTCTGGCATCCAGCCACATCAACGACGTTAGCAGCTGCTCGCAGACTATCAGGTATGTGGGACTTCCCACGGCCAGTAGATTTACAGACAAACGCCTTATATGCAGCTTAAGGGTGAGGTCTCCGAGCATTGCAGTTGCATCATGTCCAATCAACCTCTGGATGTTTCGTTCATGCACGACGTGCACGTGGTGTGGTGTTACGGGTACATGGTTCAAGTTGCACAAGTTGCTGTCCGCAGTTAGAATTGTGTAGATGGCCATTCCGAGCCCCACTGCTTGCATATGTAACGCCTCGGCCTAGTATCCACCAACACTGGCGTCCCTCCTCTCTCAGCCATGAAGTATTTCGCCGTGCTGGCCACGCTCGCCGTCCTGTCGGCGGCCGATGGTAGGCGCCTCTTCAAGCGGCCGCAGCTGTTCCGTCCAGTGTTCGTCGGCGGCGACACTTCCGGTCAGGCCGACGGCTCGGTGACGACCGGCACGTCCGAATGCGTCAACGGCTTCACCCGCGTCACGTCCGTCACGTCCAACGCTGACGGCAGCGTGCGCGGCAGTGGCAGTAGCGTGAGCGCGGCCAACGCCAGCAACCAGCGAACGGAGACGGTCCATGGTGTCTCTGAAACGTCCGACACGGGCGCCGTCTCGGTGCAGAACACCGAACGCTAAACGCACTGCATCACATGGTCGCGAGTCATTGTTCAATGTTCGTCACGGTTTGAGAAGAGGGATGGACTTCCATGACTCGCTCACTGTTGGTGCTCTGTCTTGTTATTGACTGTGAAGTATTACCCCAAAGATGAAGGCACGACGTGCAATACAAATCGAAAATATGAAACTCACGAGCCTTTGTAACGTGCTGTTCGACAGCATGTCGCAATGCGTTTCCAAGGGAGACGCCGCCCGGCCGCCAAGCCGGAAGCGGGTAACGTGCCGACCACCGAGGAACTAGGTCACCACTGAGCTCAGGCTTTATGCTGTCCTTTTGCAGAATAAGAGCTATTTTTGTGTCTCGTGGTTGCAGCTGCCCGAGGCCTTCGCTCGTCGATCAGCTATGTTACTTGATAAGTCGGGCGACTGTTCTCACAGATCTGGCTGGTGAACGAAATAATAATATACGCAACCATGACTATCCCATTTTTTATCCTGATACACGATTTATGTACGTATGCTCCATATAACAGCTCCTACACATTTATCTTAGCCTAGGTCATGGTATGTCGCATATTTTAATCATGTGTTTAACACAACATGCTTTCAACGACAACGCTTGCTGCCGCTAAAGGGATTTGTTGACCGAAAGAGGAAACGCCCAGCGTGGCGCATCTTGTCCGCCGAAAAAAGTTGCTTCATAGGACCCGAGCAACGTCATTACGCATATTACGCTAGTTCCTGTTGAAATTTCCATCGAACGACTTCAACGCCATGCTGCAAACGCTCACCTTCATATTTGTCCTGCGCATTAGCACGACTGCAGCTAATCCTAGGCAAACGTCAGATTATACGCAGGCAGAGACCCGACTCCGGCTTTTAATCTTTTTGTAGGGTTGCGGCTCTTAGTACCAAAGCAACCCCCCACCATAGGGCGGGGAAAGTGCAGAGGGAACCTATTGCTGGCAGTGCTATCTGCCTTGCCGCAAATATTGCTGGTACCTCACCTCTACAACGTACGCATAAGAAAGACTCGTTATGGAACAGGGTGTATGAAGCATAGAAAGAAAGCAATTGAATACAAATATACGGACAAGAGGATCGAATGAATATTGCTGAGCCTTTCAACCACTGTGAAAATAGTTTCTGTGTACCTGTCTTGCATGTTTCATGGTTCCACGCCGCTGGAACCACTTACTTCACTAGCTAGGCGGAAAAAACTTTGTTCGCATAACTATGCCTTTCAAAGTTGCAACCGTGCAAATGGTACAGCTACCACGACTCAGACCTCCCTCCCCTGCCCCCCCCCCCCCCCCCTTATGATTGAATAATTAACGCCGAGCTATTGCGGTTCGTGTCCGCGCCACGACACTTGCTGCATGCCAGTTCCGCCCAGTACCGCCTGTCACGTGGCTGCCTACGTACAGCCGCGGACACGGCTGGCGGTTTCATGCAGGGTCGTGCCTGATTCATGTAGGAATGGTTTTGATCTACCCCATGCCAGCTAGGTATATTTCAGTAGATTTTTTCAGCCCTCTTATTCAGAATCGGCATCTTTCCAGTCGGGTTTATTCGGGGTCGGGCTGCGGGAGTCACAGTCCGTCGCGAATCATTTGGTTTCCAACGATGGTGATGAACTGCTTACCAAATCCGAGGAAATGACGTCACAGAACTCCGCACCGCCTCTCTCGCATCAGGAACTTCTCTCCCTGGCGGACGTGTACGGGACCAACTGTGAACGCTATGAACCGAGAGTTGCGAACATTAAGAAGTGTGCACGTCGGGATCCGTGAACATTAGGTACAGTAAACGTTAGGTGTGAGCATGAAAACTGTGAACATTGTGAGCTGTTGACATTATGAGCTTCTGACTTTCTCACGCAACAATATTAGCGTTTTATCCCTATGAACCATTTTTAGCACAGGACGTACGTTATAAAGATATGGAGATCCAAACTACCCAACTGCAGCGCGGCATATGCCCCGTTTAATATTTTATATTTGGAAGTCGAAGCTGAAATGTCACATTCAAATGAATGCCCCGGTGTGCGGGAGGGGTTAGGTTCAGCAGGAAGTCTTAATGTTTGGATAGACTGCCCATTTCCTTATCCGCATTGTTCCTGTCCTCTACACGGGAGCATTCATTTGTGTGCGATGCTCGAGTTTCGACTGTGAAGTACATTATCTTAAGCAGAACACGTTCTGTGATGGATTTGAGATACTTAGCCTTCATGCATTTTTTCTCATGAACGTGCAAGCGCCAAGTAACATGCCTTTGTCATACTCATAGAAAAGTGTGAAACATCTAAAATTGTGACTAAGTGAACTTCTACATAGCTTTGGGGTTAAGGTGTAATTGCATGCGCAGTTGCGGTATTTGCATTATGATGGTGTTGTGTGTTTTTCTTTTTAGGCTGGAAACTGTGCATGTGATTTTTAGGCCCAACGATGCAGCTGTTGTTAGCATCGAAACGCGACGCACATATTTTCATATGTACTAAACAAAGTGCTAGTTTGGAGGCATACTTGTCACAAGGATGTACCAAACAATTATATAGGGGGGAGGAATCAACACATTTTGTGCGGCGTACACTTGAGTGAGACAAATATAGGGGCGGTGTTCAAAGATATTTGCAACAAAACGCTGGACTTGGCCACAGCTACCAAACGCCGAGTTTTGTGGCGAAACAATCCTTGCTTGGCAACGTCATCTAACCACTGCCTCCTACCGTAATTAACGCTCATTATTTCAGACATGAGAGTTCAAAGCCTTTCTTGCCAATTTCAAGTTTCATTGCGTGTCAAAGCATTGGTCGAATTAGATTTAAATACGGCCATGGGTCACCCGTCGAGTTGTGAGCCTCTACCTACTCTGTCACCCGAGTCGTCGACGTGCCTGTTGAAAAGGTGTACAAGATCAGTGTCACTTTCACCAAGTGCACCCTAGCAGTGCGAACGAAACATGTACCATGGCCTCCTACCTGGACGCGTTAGACATCGGTCATTGTGCATCAAGACTGGTTGATTCACTAAGATGCTTCTTATTCTGCGAAATGCGCTCCATTCTAAGCTGTTCACAAAAATGCAACTGGATATCGATTTCTAAAGGAGTATCATTCCTCTGAAGAAAAACAATTCTGGAATCAACTAATTGTTTAGAAAATACTTGACATCGCTGACGGTGAACAACGTGGCCGAAATCCGGGGAAAGTGTTTAGAGGTTGAAAGGACCAACTATATCCACCACCACCACCATTCCCCGCACTCTCATCCATGCCCCTCACTACCCACTTCCCCACCCCCAGCCGATTTTAGAACTTGACGACACTTTGGACTTCCCTGGGGTTTTCCAACAGCGTTCGCAGCTGGCGGCAATAGTCAACTTCCGGTAGTCGCGAACGTCTGGGAGCCAACGAGCGTGCGTGGAATTTCCACCTGGGCAGGCATTGAGCGAGCGTTTCTGCAGCCAGTGGTGTCGTCTGAGTCACAGGCGTAACTACACACAACCACCGTCTGCATATAAAACAGCAGTCTGCACTGCCAAGCCATCACACACCTCCGGCACCCAGCCGCATCAATGACGGTAGCACCTGCTTGCAGAATATCAGGTATGTGGGACTTCCCGTTCCCAACAGATTAACAGACAAACACCTACATATGCAGCTAAAGGGTGAGGTCTCCGATCATTGTAGCTGCATCACGTCAAATCAACCTCTTTGGATGTTTCGTTCATGCACGACGTGTACGTGGTGTGGTCTAATTGGTGCATGTTTCAAGTTGCACAACTTGTTGCCCTCAGAATTGTGCACGTTGCAATTCGGAGCCCCATTGCTTGTATGCGTAACGCCTCGGCCTAGTATCCACTAACACTGGCGTCCCTCCTTTCTCAGCCATGAACTATTTCGCCGTGCTGGCCACGCTCGCCGTCCTGTCGTCGGCCGACGGCAGGCGCCTCTTCAAGCGGCCGCAGCTGTTCCGTCCAGTGTTCGTCGGCGGCGACGCCTCCGGCCAGGCCGACGGCTCCGTCACCTCCGGCATCTCTGAGACGGCGTTCGGACGAGACCAGATCGACTCGGCCGTCTCCAGCGTTCGCGGCCAGGCCAACGGTCTGGGCAGCAGCAGCACCAACACGGCCAACGCCGACACGCGCCGCTCTGAGAGCGTGCTGGGCGTGCAGCGGACCTCCGACACGAACGCCGTCTCGGTGCAGGACAGCAACGGCGCCGTGCTGCTGCCGGTCGGCGGTCTGTTCCAGCGGCCGTCGCTGTTCAAGCCGGCGCTGCTGCTCGGCGGCGCGGCGTCCGGCTCCGCCGACGGCTCGGTGACGACCGGCACGTCCGAAGGCGTCAACGGCTTCACCCGCGTCACGTCCGTCACGTCCAACGCCGACGGCAGCGTGCACGGCAGTGGCAGCAGCGTGAGCGTGGCTAACGCCAGCAACCAGCGCACGGAGACGGTCGATGGCGTCTCTGAGACGTCCGACACGGGCGCTGTCTCGTTGCAGAACACCGGACGCTGAACGCACTGCATCATATGGTCGCGAGTCATTGCTTAATGTTCGTCACGGTTTGAGAAGAGGGATGGACTTCCATGGCTCGCTTACTGTTGGTGCCGTGTATTGTTATTGACTGTGAAGTATAACCCCCAAAGATGAAGACACGACGTGCAATACAAATTGAGGATATGAGACTGACGAGCATTTGCAAGACGCTGTTCGACAGTGCGTCACAAGGCGTTTCCAAGGAAGACGTCGCTCGAGACGGCGTCGCTAAACATGTCGTTTGACTTCATAACTGTGACTAACGCCTTTTGTACTCCGTTAGCGCAGGACAGCAAAAAAGTATCTTTATATAGCACATTATTTCCTTTTTGCGTTCACGTTAGCATCCAAACGAACGAGTAAATCCCGCACCTTCTGTCTCGATATAGGCCGCCGCCTTAGGATACGGGCCTAAAGTACATCTTTCACTTCGCTTGTGTGTGCACCTGGTTTTGGTGGCGTCCGTCGAACGACTCGGTGTAACAGACACCTTCATCGGACGAAGGAGTGCACAATCTTCAAAAGCTAGCGATATCTTGGCCCTAGACCCTACTATTGAGGGCGCCGTATTAAATAGCGCACGAGCAGTGCCGTCCGCCTGTGGTTCTTTTATGGTCCACTGATGCACCCAGGATGGCAATTCCACGCGAAAACAATGCATTCCGATGCACTGTTTTTATCCTGGTTTCGCTACTATGCCTCTTTCGGAGAGAGTGGGGATGAACATCTAGACAGACGCGAAGAGAGAAGTTGAAGATACCTACAAACGATGTACTGTGTGTTTTATCGGACTGATGATGACCTGACGACCTGATGATACTTGCATGATTTGTTGATGCGTGCTGTATGATAATCATGCAGTTTGATATCGATGTCCGACACGCACGCGTGGCAAGATGGAACTTGTGAGAGCCTTCAATCCACCGTAGAAATGGCACGCCTCTATTAAGGTGGGTGCCACCAAAGGAATTTCTTCACAGACAGGGGAATACCCAGCTTGGTGCATTTTGCTCGCTGAAAATAGACGCTTCACGAGAGTTGCCCAGCAGCATTACGCACATCGAGCTAGTTTCTGTTGGAGCTTGCACCAAGCGACTTGAGCGTCCTGCTGCTAGTAGACACCGACATGTTTGTCCTGCGCAGTAACAGGACTGCAGCTGGTCTCAGGTAAAGGCCGGGTTGTATGCAGACAGGAACCCATCACCGGCTTTTCATCTTTTTGTGGAGTTGCGTCTCTTAGCATCAAGACAACCCTAAGCCATGGAGGAAGGGCTGAGGGAGCCTATTGTTGAAGGGCCACTTACCTTGCCGCCAATATACCTGGCATCTCATCGCTGCAACATCCCCATAAGTAAGACTTGCTTGCGGAGCAGGAGGTATGGAGCAAAGAAACAACCAATTGAATGTAGATATTAGCACAAGAGGACCAAACTAATATTGGCGAACCTTTCGACCACTGTGAAAATGGTTTCTGCGTATTTGTCTTGCATGTTTCATGGTGCCACGCCGTTCAAATCACCGACTCCATTAGCTAGGCCAAACAATTTTGTTCGCATAACTGTACCTTCCAAAGTCGCGCCTTATACATGGCACAGCTATCATGGCCTAGACCTTCCCATGATGTCCGAGTGAATATACGCCGAGCTATTGCGGCTCGAGTCCACACCACGATGCTCTTGCTTGTTGCACGCCAGTTCCGCCCAGTACCGCCTGTCATGTGACTGCCTACATACAGCCGCGGACACGGCTGGCGGTTTCATGCAGGGTCGTGCCTGATTCAGGTAGGGATATTTTTGGTCTACCCCATGCCAGCTAGGTATATTTCAGTAGATTTGGTTTCAGTCCTCTCATTCAGAGTTGGTCCCTTTCGAATCTGGTTGATTCGGAGTCGGGCTGCGGGAGTTACAGTCGGTCGCGAACCATCTGTTTTACAACGATGGTGATGGACTGTGTCCCAAATCCGATGAAGTGACATCACGAAGCTTCCCGTTGCCTCTCTCGCATAAGACACGTCTCTTCCTCGCGGACGTACGTGTGACTAACTAGGAGCATTATTAACCGGTTATTGTGAACATTATAAGCTCTGGCCGGTGTTAACTGCGAACATTATTTACAGTAAGCATCATAAGATGTTAACGTTGAAACCTGTCAACATTGTTGATTGGATATTGTGAACTGTGGACGTTATGGACTCCTGACTTTATTAAACAGGGACAATATGAACGTCTTATCCCCATGAACCCACTTTAAGCACAGGACGCTATTCCTGAATATATGACGTATAAAGAGACTCAAACTACTTAGTATAGAGATTCAAACTGCCGAACTCCAGCGCGGATTATGTCCCGCTTAAGATACAATAATTAAAAGTCAAGGCTGGAGTATCACATTCAAATGAGTGCTCTGGTATACGGTAGGGGTTAGGTATAGCAGGAACTCTTCCCGTTGAGGTAGATTGTCCATTGCCTTATCCAGACTGTTCCTCTTCCTTATATGAGAGCATTTATTTGCAGTTGATATTCGCGTTTTGGCTCTCAATTATATTACTTTAGGCAGAACACCTCCCGCGCTGGATTTCAGAAACTTAATTTCCCTAAATTTGCGTATGAACGTGTAAGCGCCAAGTAGCATACCTTCTTACACCCATTGTAACTGATAAAAATCTTAAACTGTGACCAAGTTACCCTATCTGTAGCTCGGGAATCGGGTGCAACTGCATGTGCTTTTACGTTCTTTGCACGATGCTTGTGACGCGCGGGTGGTATTTTTCTTCAAGCTTCATGGAGTGCCTATGTTTTCTTAACAATGTATACATATACATACATATATATATATATATATATGTATGTATGTGTATATATATACATATGTATACATATATATATATGTATACACATATATATATGCGCATGTTTGCATGTATATATGAAGCATAGTTTTGCTGTATGCCTCTCAAGGAATACACGTCAAAAATGATCTATAGGCGCGGAATCTACACATTTTGTGCGGCGTCTTCTTGAGTGAAATAAATAAGGGGTGTTGTGGATAGATTTTTGCAAGGAAATCTGGCCATGACCACAGCTATCAAATGCCGAGTTTTCTGAAGCTAAAAAATGCTTTCTTGAGAACGTCGTTTAAGCACCACCTCCTTTTAACACGCGCTCGGGTGGGGGTCAAATCGACCCCCGAAGATTTTTCCAGGATGGTTTCCGAACGGCGCGGCGCGGCCGCGCCAAATTTTGCATAGCTGTAGACAATTGAATAGCGGATCGTTTGGCATCACAAATTTAGGTGTACCTTGCCAGATCTCTGACCTATGACAGGTCAAAATCAGGCCATGGTTTCAGCGAAGACAATTTCTAAGGAATCCTTCAATCTGATCCAACAACGAAGTGCTAGACGAAACCATACATCTCTGAGATGCTTTCTTAGGCAACACAACAGTTTGATTGAGCATATTACATTGACGTAAGATCAGGTATGGAGGTCACACCAAGGTCAAAACCAACCTGTTTTGTTGCTCTAGGGCTTCCTGTACGGGATAGTTTTTGGCTCTCATTTCGAACTCATTTATGGCAGGAACCACACTACACATCATCCATGGGCTTCTCAGGGGTCAGGGTAGGTCATTGATCTAAAATGACCGAAGTCAACATTTTGTTTTAGGAATGTACTGCCTAGTGTAATCCTTGTCGCTTAGTCAAATGGAAAACTCAAAGCAATCTTGTATTATTTTGGTCACCTTAACTTTCAAAGGGTCAAACCAGGTCACTGACCGTAAGTGAGCACGTGACCTTTTGCTTAAAAACGGTAATCTAGATTCTGGGGGTACTTTGGAGACTAACCTGGAACTTGACCTTGTTTGACCTTTTTTGACCCGAAGGCCATGACCTAGGAACCAAATTACCAATATTTTTAAAATGATAATTGATGAAATAATTAAACTAATATTCTATTACTAATAGATTTAAGTGTTTAAAGGTAATGCTTTCAGAACCGTTATCATCTTCGTCCACCGATGGGCCACGGCGAAAAATTAACCACTGGGTGGTTAATTACCACTTACCACTTAGTGGACTATGGAGACTGCAACGCCTGGTGTCAAGGCTTAGTTACTAAGATTTGCGAAAGCGCATGTTAAAAAACACGTTACGTAAAGTGTATCACTAATCGCTTCTGAATGAATGTTGAACATTCCCGGATAAACATGGCTTGGTCATGTTAGAACACATTGTTGACCACTCGATATGCGACCAAATTTTCATCTTCAAATTTCGATGAGACATATCGATCTTCAACCCACCTGCGCGATGTCCTTAATGCCTGTAGGACCCAAACAAAATATCCTGGCAAAGCCTCTGAACTCTATCGGTTTAGGAAGAGTCCATTAAACTGTTGTAAATCAAGGGCGCCGCTGATTTATTCCATGCGGTCGTTTAACGCCTGATTTCTGCAGTTCATTGACTTCAAAATACAAACAGAATTGATCTCACGAGAACCTTTCGGTTTTTGTTCTGGTTACAGGGTAAGAATAACAATAAAAGAGAGACAACCGTGTACCTTGTTGACAAGCAAGCTATATCCGGGGATTTTCGCGGGTTGGGCTCACAACCAGAAGGGCTTTAGAAAAACATTTTCTCGTTCCGAGATGACTTCTATCGACAAAAATTGTGAATAGCAATGGCGAACCCATGCGCTCCTCCTCTGGCGATAATATGTCTAGATCAATTTAAAACGAAGGCCCTTGCCGCCGGCCCATCAAAATCAACTTTCTTAGCTAGATACGTCGGTGATTATGCTGGGGTATGGACGCACAAACAGCGTGCCCTCGAAGAGTTTTTACAGATCATGAACAACCAGCATCCAAATCTCGCTTTTACGATGAATCATACAGGGGGCGGAAAGGGGGTCCCATATTTGGATACGCTAGTGACGGTGAAAAGAAGGAACAACCGCACAACGTTAGAAACGGGACTCTT